CCTGCATCCAGAGTGTTCTCTAATCAGGTGCCGGCTAAGAGGGGGTTGAGCGGCGCAGGCACCGCCAGTGATTGGGGTCAGCTGGGAGCTGCGGCCTAAAAGGCAGCCAGTTGCAGCACRTCTTTAGGGAGAAAAAGGAGGAAAAAAAAAAATCCATTTTCCTGCAAATGCAAGTGGCAGAACCTAGTTAGGATTTTCGTCTTTGATTTGGCAATTGTAGATGTCGCTGTACTCAGCTCCATTAGAATCACAGTTCAGAGTGAAATTGGGCTTAGACAGTGGTTCAGGGTGCTCAGACTAGCGAGTCAGGACACGTGAAGCCTCTGCAAGGAACTGACGTGCACGAAACCATGCGCTGGGAATGCCGCTTCCAGGGACGGCTGTGGCAGGACCTGTTGGGGTTGCCGGGGGCTCCCCAAGGGTCCGTGTCACCTGCTGCCGGCCTCCAATGGAGGTTGCAGCTCTGCGGAGCTCCGGAGGCCTCTGCTCCGCTGGGACCCTTCCGCCCGGCCCCCACGTCCCTTCTGGGAGCATGTGGACAGCGGCGGCCTCGCTTCCCTGCTCTGGGGCCACCTTAGGTTGGCGGCACCAACCAGGGTGCAAGCTCGGCCCGACGCCAAGTGCGTGAGCGAACGTTTGGTTTTCATTGTTTTTAAATAAAATACGCACTTACGACATCCTTGTATCTTTAAGCAGAGGCTCCTAACTTGCTAATGGCTCCGCCAGCACGCAGAAGGACAGGGGGAAGTGCCAATCGCGCGGGTGTTGGAGCCGCGGGCTGCAGCGTCGCTCCCCTCTCCGAGCACGGGTGCCTGGTGCACGGGCGCCGGCAGCCCCAGCGCTCGCAGGAGGYGCTGCCGGGGGAGGCCAACACCAGAGATGCTGTCCCCCGCATCGCCAAGGCTCTGGCTGCTCCGCAGAGCCTGCTCTGCAAGGCCCGGCCGCTGTCCTGTAAGCAGATTGCTCTTTCCGCTGGCGCCGCCGCGGCGCTGGCCGGGGCTGTGGGGCAGGGTGGTCTCGGGCAGTGAGGGTGCAGCGCCGGCTCCTGGGGCTCCCCGAGTGCGCGTGAGGCTGCGGCGCCGGCTCCTGGGGCTCCTGCGAGCGCTGATCCGCCCTGCCGAGCTCCGGGCTGCCCGTCCTGCCGCAGCTCCCGGCTCCCTGCGCAGGCTGCGGAGCCGCAGGGCGCTCCAAGCTTTCACAGCRCGTGTTCCGCTCAGCACATCGCCAATGTCTTCTAGAAACATGATCGAAATGTCTTGGGCTGGRCAGGACTGACTCACAGTCCCTGTTTCCTCTATAGCCATAGCATTCAAAATAGAAAATAAAAGTCTGTATGGTGCTTTCATTTTGGGAGCCTAAACAGACACCGCAGTGCTCAAAATCCTTCCCTCGGGGAAGCTGCAGGGCCGTCTGGTTTCACGGGGACTGTGTTCTCCCTTGAAAACGGATTACTCTTTCCTCACCAGCTCTGCTCACAGAGAACCAGACTGGCTCGGTGGATGGATGGATGGATGGATGGATGGATGGATGGATGGATGGATGGATGGATGGATGGATGGAGACTGATGGGGCTTCCTGTTGTTCTGTGGCAGCAGCAGCTCGTGGAGGAGGGAGCGAACGGGGAGGTGCTGCCTGGAGGTCCTTGTCCGAGCGGGGCAGCACCGCGGGGCCGGGCAGCGGTGCTCGTGTCCCCACGCTCCCCTCTGCAACATCCTCCCCTCGCGCACCAGTTCTTCGCTCCCCTCCTGCCTCGCAACTCTCTCAATCTCATCGTTCCTCAATAAATTGCTCCAGAATTATTTTTCTGTCGTCTCTGGCACTGGGGATCACAGTATAGAAAGTCCTAGTTCTCATGCCAGCAGAAAAGATGCTCTGTGGATATGTTACCAAGGGCTGTGACAGAAACTCCGGGAGGATCTCACAGGAGGGAGGAGTTGAGGCTCGCTTTATCCTCCCGAAATACATCAGGTCCTGACCTCAACACTGTCACCCGGTTTAGTCTGAGACTGAAATGGCTGCTTCCTTTCTCCCATCTTTGCTTTCAGCAGTAGCCCCTATTCCAGGCTGTTCACACGTGTTTCCTGCCAGCAGGTTCCTTGAGCTTTTCTCCGAGGAGCACGGAGCCGGTCAGGGGTTCCAGGTCTGCCAGTAGTAACACAGAGGTTCTTCACATGCAGGTTTTGCAAAACCACATCAGATTTCTCCTTTTGTAATGTTAAGCCTTCGGGTGTAAGGCAAAGGTTTCAAGTTTTTACTGTTAACGACAATTTCCTTTCCTGCGGGAGTATGTGAGGCGGGAATGCGGGAGCAGACTGAAGCTGAGGAGACACCAAGGCAAGAAAGCGAGCCCAAACTCTGTGTGGGTCTCCAGCGAGACGGAGAGGCCACACAAGCTTGTCCCTCTTTAAGTCTCGTGCTCATTCAAGTGTCATTCGCTACCCAAAACAGACAGCAAGCCAGAGGGATGGGTTTTTAATGTTTTTATTTACTAAGGTTTTTATTGTGTTTTATATTGCAAACCCCGCCCCTCGAACTCTTCCCTCCCTTCCCCCCAAAATAAAACAAAAAATAACAATAATAATTATTATAGTTCCACCTACTGAGACAAGCCTAGTGTTGACTGGGGTCCAGTTGGAGTAACTCAATATTGGCTACTGCACCGCTAAGAACTGGAAAATCCAACCACATCCCCATGGCACCCGAAGCCAAGGGACCCGAGGGCGCTCCGGGCTCCTCCGCCCGTCTGTGTGGCCACAGGCCGTGCCTGCTGGGATGCGGGACACGGCTCCGGCACGGCCGAGCCGGGCACTTTTCCCACCTTGTTGGATGGCATTTCCCRAGCCCCCAGCTTCCCGACACGCTCCTCCCGGGGGGGCCACGGCACGCGGCAAAACAGGACTGTTAATGCAAGCATTAAACCTAAAAGGCCCTTCCGAGTGTCCCTTGCCTGCCGCTTGGAGYGCGCGGGGCTCTGCGAACGGTCCCTTCCATCCCTCGGCTCCTGTTGGACACGCTGCAGGAAAGCAGGACCTGCTCGTTGCAACTAGCGCCTGCGGAGCGGTCCCAGCGGAGCGCCAAAACTGACGGGGGTTTTAAAAGGAGGAGATAGATAGATAGATATGAATATATATGTGAGTGTGTGTGTGTGTGTGTGTGCTTCCACAGGTGCATAAATAGTCTACATATGCGTATAACTGTATATTATATATATAAAAGTATGTGCGTGTCCATATATATGTACCTATCCCCACACACACACACACACACACGTGCACGCTCCCGCCACACACACTCACCCACAGCTGATCCTACGTGACTAGTAGAAAAACAGACCTAGATTTCCCTTGCCCCTTGGAGGAAGACCAAAGCTGATTACGTGGGGATCCCGCGCCGCAAACGCACGCGGGGTCAGGACTGCCCAGCGATGCTCGCAGCAACATTCAAGATACAGGCACATGTCAGAGATTTGCAAACAATTTGGTATAAAAACCAGCCGGTGTTTTGGGAAGGGGGCACCGGGGGGGTCCCGCGGCTGCGAGGCTGCTTTGGCACCGCGGCGGCGAGCGCGGCTCTGCCCGYGCCGCTGCCGGCGCCTCGGGGCAGCGGCGAATGCAGATGGACACGGTCAGCACCCGGCCGTGCGCACTGAGGGGGCCACCGGCTGCGCTACGGGGGGAAAAAAGAGGAAAAAAACACAAAATGGAAAGAAAGGATTGAAATAAAAGAGACATTTGCTCTAGAGGTTAAAGCTCTCTGTGCTGGGTGCACCCAATGGCCCCTTTCTGTCTTCTTCCCACTTTGAATGCCTTAAACCAGGAGAGCCCCAAAAATCCAGCTCAAGGGCCCTGCTGGGCCCCGGCTGTGTCCAGTGACGCTGCAACTGCAGGGCGAGAGGCTGTTATTGCTGGTGAAATCAAGCAAACAACTCCAATTCCCCCATCAGAGAAGCATGGGCCACGGCTGGCCACGTCGCTGGGCTGAACCTTGTCTAATGGCATGCACAAAGCTGCAAATCGGAAGGATTTTTGGCTCTAACTCCCCTGGGCTAAGGAGGAAGAGGGACRGGACGAGGGCACCCTGCTTTTTGACCTTATCCTCCCCGGTCCTTTTCAAAGCATTCAGCCCATGGACACCAAGACACCAAGGTTGAGCGAGGGTTCAAGTACTGTCTCTTTCTTCATCCCTGCCCTGCTCTTCTCCAGCGCCCACATCCAGGAGGCTTACGGAAACACAGCGGGGATGTTCACCGCCCTCCCTGTGACTTACAAGTTACTATTCCTTGTTGGACGAGAAAGAGCCAAGCACCTGAAGTCAGGCCCGTCCATGTCCAGGTCACCTTTATCTTCTTGAGGTGGAGTCCAAGAAAGGGCCACACAAACCTCAGCCCTGCTGCGCTCCCCAGAGGGGCCGGCCTCAGCGACACTCAGCCCTGTGCTCGCGTGCTCTGCGAGCTGCCGATGGCCGGAGCAGCCCTGCGAGGCGCCGACGCTCTCCGAGGTGCGCGGCCAGCCAGGCGGGTGAGGGCCGGAGCCGYGTGGAGCCCAGGCCGACCAGGGCTCCTCACACCAGCCTGACCTGCTRGGCCCCTTACGGCCCACGTCAACCTCGGCTCTTTGTCTCAACAGGAAAGCCATTTTTGGTGGCTTCTATGGCTGATCATTCACGTGTTCCAGCTCAGGCACATGCCTTGTCTGTGCGTTACCTCGTTGGATTAAATTTTCCAATATCCTTTTGCTCCATGTATTAAAATATTCTATAAAATCAAGTGACCAAAAATCTATAGCTCTAAGAATACCTGGTTAGCTTTTTTTTGTTCTTTTTTCTGTGTTTTTTTTTTTTTTGTTATTTGTTTATTTCTAATAGTTGAACCTAAAGATAAGAAATGGGGAAACAAAAAAAAAAAAAAAAGGAAAAAAAAAAGGAAAAGGCAAAAATGATTCATGAAGGTCTGCTCAGGAGGGGAACTGCGCGGCTGACACAACCAGCTTTCCGAGGAGTCCTCACAAATTGGAGGGCAGTTTGGAGCGGACGGGCTCCAGGTCCCCRCTGAGCGTGACGGACGCTTTGCGCCCGCCGGCGGAGAGGGCAGCGGCGCCCAACACCAGCGGATGGGGTAAGGAACCTGAGGACATCTGACGCGGCAAAGTCACACGCCCAGGAACTGAGCTGCAGGGCTTCCCAACAAGTCCGGCCCCGGCGCCGGGGAACGGGACGAAGCTGGAAACGGATTCCCTGGAGGAGTGAGGAGAGCTTTGGCTGAGCGCCTGAGCCAGCTCCTGGGGCAAGGATGGCTGGGAAGCAGAGATGAGCTTGAGGTCCTGGCTCAGGCGCCCTGGCGTGTTCTTGGACTGCAGCAGYGGAGGAGCTGGGCTGGCTGTCTGGGACAGGAGCAGAGATCCGTGCGAGCCCGAGGCCCCGGCRGGGCCGCTCTGAAAAGTTCTTGTTGCCACTGGGCTCTGACTGGGAGGACTAAGGCCAGAGGGGGTGTAACACGGSGAGGCCACACCGGGCTGTTGTAGCGGAGACACGGAGGCAAAAGGTGGCCTTTCTTGGTGGAGCTGAGCTATCGTTCCAGTTAACGATCCTAATGCACTTGGATGGGTTTGACACAGGCCGGAGGAGGGCCCGCCGGGGGCCTGCGCCAGCTGGCTTAGGCTGGAGGACGGAGAGTTGGAAGAAGGAGGGGGTTGGAAGTGATTCACTGCCGCCAGGGTCCCACTGCCTGAGAGCTGCTGCAACTGTCCCCCCTGCAGTGGCCTCGTGCTGGGCTGGAACTGGTTGAGAAGACTGGGGGGGGAGTTTGATGGGAGCTGGGTGAAAGACGTCGACGGGGAGCTCCCTGCCGCGTGCTGGAAGTGCCCAAACCCACTGCTGGGAAGGGGCTGCTGCTGCTGCTGCTGCTGCTGAGGCGGCTGCGGCTGCTGGGCGGGCTGCCCGGTGCCGAGGGGCGATCCCGAAGACGCCTGCTGGAAGTGGCCGAGTCCCGCGGCGGAGGGGCCGCCGCTGGGGGCCGGCTGGCCGGGCCCGGCCGGAGGGGAGCCCGCTGCGGGCTGCTGCAGCGGGGCCAAGGCGGCRGGCGCCGAGAAGCCCGCCAGCTGCTGGATGTGGAAGGAGGAGGATGAGGGYGTCTCTGCCCCTGGTGTGTGCAGCTGGGACACGGGCGTGCTGGACGGAGAGCCCACGGCAGAGGGCCCGGCGGACGGGATGAGCGACTGCAGCCTCTTGAGCTGCCTGGGCGTCTGGCTGGCTTGCTGCCCCAGGGAGCCCAGCACGGACACCGGCGGGCGGAAGATGGCAGTGGGGAGGCGTGGGTGGTGGGTCAGCGCTATGGCCACGGACGTGGTGGCCGCTGCGGCTTGCAGGGGCGCCTGGATCAGCGGCGTCCAGATGACAGGGGTGGCGGTGGAGGCGGCGGCGGCGGCGGCCTGCACGTTGTGGGCGCAATGGGCCATCTCCCTGTCGTGCTGCACGATCTGCTGGATGATCTCGTTCTCCTGGTAGTTGAAAACACCCGAATTGAGRTCGTGCTGGACCTTATGCAGCAGGATGGAATTTTTCTTACCTGTAGAGAAAGCAGAAAGAGAAGGTCTGAGTCTCATACCAAAATTCCCACCAGACTGGGATCTTCCCACAAGATTCCCACCAAACTTGCCTCATCTTGTTGGCACTGTGTGCCTGCTACCTCGGTATGGGAACAGCCTTGTCAGAGTCTATCTATCTGCTCCAGCAGCAAGATGGCACACGGTCCATCTTCTGCCTTTGTGCCATGGTCGAGGGACCTGGAGATCCCACAGGACAGGCCTTATACAGGACTCACACAGCAGAGTCAGCATCAACATTCAAGGTCACTGGCCAAGTCCTGGCCCTTCTACAGTCTAACAGAGAACTTCTGCCATCAAATGACTTCCACAAAATACTGCTGAAACTAGGAGCATATGCTRCAAGTTTTTCTTGAAGAAGCCTGATATTTTCCTGAAATTATATACTATGTACTCAGCTCTAGACGAACTGTGGAAGAAACCTCAGCTGAAATGCAGATTTCTGATTTATACATGTTCATCAGGTCTTTCATTAATGTGTCCTTAACTACTGCCCCGGCACTTCTGTTGCACTCAAGATCTTGTTATGCTTGAAAATAATCACCCTGTCATGATACCCTATTAAGCAAAGCCCAGCACATCAGCTCAGGCTTCAAGACAGACTGGACCCCGGGCTCTCTCCACATTACCCCCCATCTGTCAGTGCCCCCTCACTAGCTCGTGAGCTGCCTCCAGCGCAGCAGAAACCTGCAGGGCCCAAGTGCCGAGGGCAGCTCGTGTGCTGGGAGTGTTCCCAGCAGAAAGGCGGCTCCGCTGCCGAACCACGGACAGTGCAAAAACAGTGTCCTGCAGGCACTGTTCAGCTAAAACCTGCTGTGTGGGAATCTCATGGTACATTGCAAACCATTTTGGGAGCGATCCCAGCTCCTGCAGGGTCATGGCAAGTTCTGCCGTTGACCTCAGAGGGGCCAGGACTCCATCCTAACACTCACCAGTCCCAGGAGGAAGAAAAAGTCAAGCACTTGTTTCTCGTTGAAGAAGAATTTCTCTGTGATTAAGGGGCACAAGGACATCACGTGCCAAAAGAGCGAGATGCTGCAGTCACCATCTTATGTGGTCGGGAACTTYTAGCCCCAACTTGAAGGCAACTGCAGCCCAGCGAACCTCATGTTCCAGCTGGACTCTTTACCCTGCAGAAAAACACTATCATCATCGCAACACTTTATCCTTTCAGTGCGGTAGAAAATATGGCGCAATGAGTTTGTCTGGCCTTAGAGCCCACCTAGCACTGGCCTGCAGTACAGTGTCCCAGTGCTAGCTGCAAAACTTGAAAAAGCACAGCAAAAACATGAAAACGCTCAGAAAATCAGACTTGAAAGCATCAGTAAATACAGAAGCACAACACACTTCTAGCTTTTTCTCACAAGTGTCTTGATACTTATTTTGCAGTAAGAGGAAGCTGGTAAGAACCATTCTTCAAGGCTTTAGAAAGAGTCATGAGGTCTTCTGGTTTTGACAAGTCCAGATGAAAAACAAGCAGCAGACTAATGGTAAAAGTAGCTAAGCACTGGAAGAGCAAATGAAGGGGAGGTCTCTTAACATCTTAAAGTCAAGAGTGGATCCCTTAAAGGAGGTGGAAATGACTGAGGAGGGTGCAGCAGGATAATGCCCYAGTTTGCTTGCGCAAGGCTGTGCAAGTTCTCAGACCGGCCTCAATCYGCAGCTCCCTGCTTGGCCTGGCAGCGGCCCGGGCCGGGTCTGACTCCAGCTCTGCAGCCAGGGCCCGGGGCCAGGCCTGCAGTGGGCAGCGCTTYGGGGTGCTTAATGCCTGTGTGTCCCCCCTCCACTAAGAAGCCCCTCCAAAAAGCGGGAAGGCACCTGGAGAGGCAGTTTTCTTTGAAAGAAACGCCAGTCGTGGAAGGTCGAAGGGAGAAAGCAGCGACCTGAGCTGCTCCTGTAGCAGTTACACCGGGGAAGCCTCAATGTCACCTTTCCATTTGGAATATACAGAGGAAGGGAGTGAGGCGGGCTCAAAGGTCGGTCTGTGCCTGTGCAGAGCTTTCCAGGCAGCATCCTCTACAATCACAGACAAAACMGATCCCAGAGAGCTGGGAAACAGGAAAATTAATGGAATTAATTTCAGGAAACAGAAATATTAATGGTTCCAAGGCAGGCAGACAAGAACAACCCGGCTATGTGGAGAGGCTGTTAAGGAGGGGTGTGAGGTGAGGARGGCCGCGGGCTGCGGGTTTGCAACGCTCCCCTCTCCGGAGCTGAGGGTACAAATCCCAGCGTGGGCCATGGGGCGCTCCCTGCCCCGCTGCAAGGTCAGGCACAGCCTGCCGAGCTCAAAGCAACCGGGCAGAAACGCTGCCCGCGACGGGCTGCAGGAAAAGCAGCCGAGAAGGGCATGAGGAGGGACAGCAGCRGGGCTCCCGYGGCGCCCYGCACAGCCCGGTACGGCTCCTTGCTCCCGTGCCGCCTGGCCGAGGCTCCCGCTCCYTTCCCGGCTCCCGGCCGTGCTCGTCACAGCTGCACGGACAAGCTGCGGAGAGCCCTGGTGTTTTCAGAACCAGAGCTCTTGCCAGCGCAGGAGGCGCCCCGCGGCACACCGGCTTCCTTGGACCTGCGCTGAACAGAGCCCGCGCGCAGCTTCCCAGCCCGCACTATTCACTGGGAAATGATTTCATCCAAGCCCCTTACATTTATGTCACACTGACAAAACACTTCCACCAAAAACCCCTTCAATGCTTAGTTTGATTAATTTTTAAACAGCCTTCCTTTGATATTACACTACATTTTAATATTCTCCTTGGCACAAAAGTCAARCAAAACTGTTATTTATCAACTATCTCATTGTATGCATTTTTATTTCCTTTCTRTTATACGAAGAAAATCTTCAAATTTTGCTTCCTGTGTCTCCAGCACACTTACTGAAATGCTCCCTTTTAGTTTTGAAGGGGAGAGGAATGTTTCAAAACCACTTTTTCAGACTGACCCTCTGTTTCCCCACTCCGGTCAAGTGCATCATTTACCCGGTGCTCCTAGACACCTCCAGGATCCTTGGTTGCTTCTGGGGTTGTCCCCTCCAGCTTGCAGCCCCCACGGCAGGGCTTGGGTAGGACATTCTCCTGGTAGGGTTAACTGAAGTCCTGCATGAAACATAAGCCAGCGGTGGGATGGGGCAGGATTGAGTTTGCTTGGGCCAGTGGTTCGGAAATTATTTCTCCCCCTGCTCTGATTCATGATGTTGCTTTAGTTTCCAACTCCTTCCTGCAACTGCCTCGGAAGGAGATGCCTAAATGCAGTCATCAGAGGACTCYGTGGCTGATTAGCTTGGCTCTGCACAACCCTAATTGCAATGATGCCCTGAAGCTCCCAGCACCAGTGCATGGACTGCAATCGAGTCCTGCCGTCCTGCTCACACAGTCTGGTTTCCCCTGCAGCTCCACCGCAGAGCCTGTGCGTTACCAGGAGCTTCTCCTTCTGCGTTACCACACAAAAACTAAAATGCTGAGCAAAGTCWAAGGTACGAGAAGCACAGGACCTGGAGCACAGGCATCCCTGTGAAAGCTCCTCGTCCCGCAGCGCTTCGGGGCGGATTTAAGTCACCCAGCTCCTCCAGGAGACGGCGCTGACAGCGCTGCTCAGCTCTCCGCAGACGCTGCTCTGCAGTGAACATGGAATCAGCTCCATTTCAGCAACTGCTGCCCTGGCAGAGCTCAGGGCAGAGCCACGAGGACGGTTCAGAGCGTGKGCCAGTGCGTGGCTGCAGCACAGGGTGTATCCAAAGCCAGACTCCGAATCAGTGCAGTGTCCCTGCGAAGGGACCCTTCCCAAGGCCAGSATCCCTTTCCTTGCCAAAGCGGCTCCTTCTCCTGTTCTGAGTGCTGCCCGGGGTGCATCCCGTCTTGCCCAGTTCTCAGCCTGCTTGGATCCAGGCCCGGCTCCTCCGAGTGAAGAGCTGCAGGGCAAATCTCTCCCTCCTCTGCCTCAAGCAGCCCCGTCCGCTCGTGGGGAGCAGTGGCTCGTGTCTCCTCACCGGCCCCGCACGGCGCCGGTGCTCCCTGCGGAGCAGACACTGCCCTGCAGCCTGGGACGTTGTGCAGGGCCCAACATCCCCACGGAGCTGCCCAGGCCCCTCCTTATCCCCAGCAGACCTAGGGACCAGCTCAGCTGGAGCAGGACCCCGGCAAAGCTGGGCCGCGAAGACCAAACTGTTTTTTGAAGACTGCCCTCTTCCCGAGAGACTCTTCCACATCTTGCACCACTCACCCTTCCCTGTTCGTGTCTCCTGACTTTCTTCTCCTGACTTTTTCACCGCTTTTGTCTCGATGGCCAGGCAAAAATAACCAGCATTAACTACTGCGGTGGAGTCTACCCTTCCCCCTGCTATTTTTCTTGCTATGACAATAGACTGAACACAGGAAAAGAGAAGAKATTTAAAGCCTGAAAGATGCTTCTCGCAACGCTGCTGGAGCTCTGAAGTGGATTGGTGTCTGCGAAATTGTGGAAACGGAACTAATAGATGTTGCTGCCTTAATAAAGAATTGCAAAGTCCGATAGCCTCAACTGCAGAGCGCACACAAAGAAACCCGGAGAAAGGGCCCTGCGATTTCATAAAAAGAGCCAAAACTCAACAATAATTCTTCTATCAAAATATCAAAATTAGCTTTCCGTTGTTAGCATTCTGCCAGGCACTGGGGAAATTAGCTGCGACTTTATGTTCATTTCTCTTTTCATTCTCTCCGAGTCCACAGGCTGCCGCTTAGGAATTCAGGTCACCCAAGTGCCTCCTGAACGTGCGTGTGTTTGAAATAACCTGCCTTTATGGGGCTGCYTTGCGCCCCGGCGCTGCCACAGGCCTCCTGCTCCCGGGCTGCACTCGCCAGTCACGCGGCTGGGCACTAGGTGCCCTGTTGGGAAGGGACTCCTGGTCCTGCTCTGCTTTGGRTTACCTGCTGGCAATTCACCTTGCTGCCACGGTCCCCGGAGGGGCAGCGGCGCTGGCAAAGTGACCCTG